ACTTCTACTTCTTTAAAAATCGCTTCAAGAATTCTTTTTATCAGAAAAAACTTTCACTTTTCTGTTGTTAGTTGACTTATTCAGCTTTTAAAGAAACAAGTTGTGAAATAAACATTTTTTCAATCATTCCAGAAGTGGCCTGCGAACAGGTCTTCAGGATCCTGTGCAGAAAGATGTTCCGTAACAAAATGTAGGACTATAAGTCTGAAGATAAAGTGATTACATAACCTCAAGTAGAGCATGGATCCTGGGTGATCTCCCAAATAATCCAACGTTTCCGAGGTCATCGTATACGATCGGGGGTTAAGCTACTGACCTGCCTTGGGGGCTCTAAGCAAATCCATTTTTATCTAATTGATGGTGGTTGCTGTTGGAAGTGGTCCCACTCTTCAATGAGACAGATTAGTGGGTTAGTGATTAAATCCATCGAAATTTGGTAATGATGAACGGTAGACAGGGATACCGGGAGAAGGGGATTGGATTGGTCGGGGTCAGCAACCTCAGTTCATTTCAGAACTCCTCACTGACTCGTTGCGAGCAGTTTTATTTGAAATTTTGAGAACGCATATGATATAAGGAACAAATGCATCTCTCAAAGTACAACCTGAGTGAATGGCTTCCTTGTGGGGGTGAATGGGGGTCCGTAGCTCTAAAAGAAATTATTCAATAGGAAATAGTCAGATTGAAAACAAATAAATCAATTTCTACCGACGATTGATTCTCGAAGGCTTTGGAAAGGTCCCTGCTACTCTCTGCTACCAGTTCAGTCGGGGATCTCATCGAAAAGATTGACCGCAAATCCAACTGTACCACATTTAGGACATCCCGATGTCCAATGGATCTACAAAGTCCGAGAAACGCTGCAGTGCTACGCCTTGGTCCAATATGGAAGGGAATGCAGTATTGGTCCCGGGAGTATTTTTCTGAAACCTGAATCTTGTGAGACCTGCCTACTTGCCACCCACGAATTCAATAGATCTGTTGTTGTTTAGCAGTTGGCTCTAGCATTAGCTTTGCATTCCCCTACGTCCTGCCGTTCCAACTTGTTGCTGCATCGACTCCGCCCACGTGTCTCATTGCTTTTGTTTGTTCGTTAATTCGAAAGCTTTTATGCTCCCACAACAGAAACTCTGGCAAGCTGTATGAGTAGCAGCCTATTGGCTACAGCAGATATTCTACTTAATTCCTTCAAAGCCTCCCGTTCCGATCTCCCAATCCTCCACTCGTTCACTGTCCCCCAGTCCATCTGCATTTATAAGACCCTATAAAATTCAAGGTGGTGATGGATAGTAGTCTTTCGAGGTTATCCCCACACCTTTTTCATGTCCAGCTTTCGTTTTCAGCTCCCCGAAGGGCTGAAAACGTGCAAATAGCACTTACAGTTTAACAAAGGCTTAGGTTACATCACGCTCGCCAACTGCATGCCAACATGCATGGGAGAATAGCTAGAGAGACTGGGATGGCACTCTTCAGGATCTCATCCTCACTGCCTTAGTACTTGCAGGAACTGATGGGAATTCCTCCAAAACGATGGTGCCAATTTATTCATGTCTTCACCATTTTTGGCTAAAACCAAGGCAATTTATGGTGTAATCACATTTATTAATGGAATCTCTTGACTGTGCAGCACCCCTGGATTGCCAGAAAATATGTCGTTTTGTTTCCTTCTTTATGATTACCAGCATCAGTCATAAGGTCGCAGATGTTCGTGTTCCAGTCAGGAACACGAACATACTCTCGTCATCGAACAGCCCCCTCCGTTTGTCAACATTCACCACTCTCTTCTTTCAATCTCATCAATTCGTAAGCTGATTCATATGAGTGACTCAGGCCAAGCTTTCTTATGAAGATCCCTGAATTTAGTTTATCGGCATTTGCAAGAAAAAAAAATAAAAGCGCAGACTTGTATATCGGCTGGCTACCGCAAGTCATTGTTCAGCACACATGCCCATTCAACCGCCATAACGATTTTGGATGGGAGTCGAAGACGGGGCACATACTAGAGAAGGATGGATTCATTACTGGGCGCCGAGGGCTCAATCCATTTTATAATTTTACTTGTTCAGTACTTCAGTTTTTTATGAGAAGTCTACTGGTTGTGTTATAAAGCTTTCTGCTCCTGTCATTATCCCGAAATCAGACCACTTCGGATCTCCTTATTAAAAGTATTGAGCATGTGGTAAATTTGGTCTAAACTTTGTAAAATCATTGCTAAGTGGTGATATCGAGAATCCCCTGCCTCCATAACAATTCTATTCATTTGTTTATTTATTAGATCATCGGGAAATTCCTATCCCAATCACCTTGCTCATACCTGCTCAGCTTGTTTTTTTTTCGCTCGAACTTTTAAGTGTTTGATTCAGACCAACAGAGAGTGCAACAGAGTAAAGTAAATAAAAGAATATGCATATTTTTCTAATCTAGATCCCATTCCCACAGATTGTGTTGACGACATTTTGAACGGAGGATGATTTTCTGAAGGTAATTTCGTTTGAGTGGTCAATAAGCTGTTATCCAACTCTCTAGGAATTCTTTTCTATTTAGCTGTGCACTGAACAATATAGTCTTCTACGACGACTAGTCGAGACGTAGCATCAAAAGTCACCAGTGTGTGTATTTCTAGACAACAGTTTCTGAAATATTGAAACATTCCATCTGGGTACACAGAAACGCGTTCACTAGGTAGGTCTTTAAACTCGTGGAAAAACCTTTCCTTTTAGTCCTAAATAGCTCACATTTTGTAAAAGGATGTAAAGGAAGCATTAAGCCGAGTATAAACGAGATCTCAGCGAGCCCCTCAAATTTTATTCAAATTTGTGAATTCTTTGTATAATTTTGATTCAAATTCCAAAAAATTGTGGACTCGTCATCTAATTATTGATGATTAATATATAATTAACATTAATAATAGTTAACATAAAGTTTTTCGTATTAATGCGAATATCACTAATCAAGAGCTAATATTAATATTATTTTCTTATTAATTCCCGAAAAAAAAGTGACGAAAATAAATTTATTGATGAGGCATAGACAAAAACTGATCCCACATTGTTAGTTTCCTCTTCCTTCCCAATACACTCATAGTGACTAACTCTGGACAAGCTTAACTCTTGGATTCTTTTCATGAATCCGTGGAGCTCATAGAAGTCCATTACACAAACATTTTTCCGAAAGACAGGGGATCGGAAGCAAAACTTGGAGCCAGTAAAAGTAGAAATGATGAAACACACCGTTATGCCTTTTGTGGTTGCTTTCCATTGGGGAGTACATTCACCTGGAGGACGTCCGTTGCGCGCGTCCGTCGAAAGTAGGCCGCCCCGCCCACTTCGCGCGCGGTGCACCCCATCTGAGGTCTCGACATGACATTACAATACCACCATGTGTCACTGAAGCGAATCATTTGCATTTGTCTGCGTTATCTTCTCTTTGAACTGATTGTCGTGGACCAAGTACAAATCGTATGCCCCACTGACAACTGCGACGTCCGTCAAGTATCGTGGGCTGACCCGCCGCGTGCGGCGGCTGCGGCGTGACCTAGTTTCGACGGACGCGCGCAACGAAGTGCACCCCATTCACCTAGAGGAACATAAAGGCAAAACGACTGGGACATGCTCTTTCCATAGAGCGGCTTGTTATCGGATGGACGTAATTTACCCAAAGAAAGGACAGCTTCGTGTAAGATGTCTGACAATGGAAGAAAACATTTATTGATGGGTTTAGGGTTAGCATGAATTCTTGATTAGCGCACTGATTGGGTGCAGGTGCCGGTTTCCAAACCACGCCGTCACAGTTACTCCCATTTAGGAGCGCTTAGCCAAGGAAGAATTGTTCTGGCATTCACACAATGACCGTCTCGGATCGAACGATGGCATTGCTGCTTGGGTTGAGCTTTTATCTCATCTCAGTTGTTAACAAGTTGCACTACCTAGAGGAAATGTCCCTTCTCTGAGTAATCCTTCCCTCAAATCATACTGTATGCGCTTGAAAAAAACTTCAGATTGTAAAAAGAAAAGCGTTTGTTAATGGCTTTTCATGTCTATGACCCCATGTCCGACTAATGCTTCGTGTCAACTAACCAGGTCTAGGTAAATGGTGTAGGAACGAGACTGTTCCGTTCCACGAAGCTTTGAAAGTAGTTGAACAAACAGTTTCGTCCAATATACGTTTCCTTTTTTATCTTGTCCTTTCTTTTATTACAAACGGTGAAGAATTGCGAAACCGACTCTCAGCCAGCTTTTTCTAAGATTTTTATTGAAAACCTTATATTCCTGGGCATTGTAAAACCGTTTCGGGAACTTTCCGAGTTTCTTGAACTGAGTAGAAAACGGGTAATAGAGCCGCTTCATACCTCGTGGACAATCCTAGAGGAACGGCAAATATTTGCTGAACTCAGACGTCGTGAAAGCAAATCTCAGCTTAGAACCACTCACCAAACGGTGTCGACAACATTTCCGCTCCACCACGATGCCAACACCGTACCACCGTATTCTATTTCGATATCTCTCAGACATACTTCCAAACTCCGCTACGATAGTTAAGCCCCCGATCAAAATCCACAGAGGATGCTCGGAAACCAACTAGACTATAGCGAGGGAGTTTTCTTTGTGGTGTCGAAGTCATTTTACTTTCTTCCACAAACTATTCTGAAGGGACATCAGTTTCCCCTGATTGGCCTGACGGAGGGTAGGGAGCCTAAAATGAATCTATTGCCTAAAAATACCTGAAAATTTCTGAACAACTGCTCATTATTGAGTCCGTTCCATCGAATTCCCACAATTCTCGATTTCTTCTATTGTTAGTTCTACGCTTTCATTCGTATTGCACTTCTAATTTCAGTTCCTTAGTATTTGGCATTTTTCCAAACAATTTCTATATATTCTATTTCTACAAAATCTTGCCCAGTTTCTGAAAATTTCACTTCCAACTCGTTTTTTTTAAAGTACTGCTCCTGAGCAATTCTAATAGATGAATTTCTTCAGGTGATGAAGTGAGGTAAGACGATGACACGGCTCGATCCCTACAGTGCCTCTTTACGAGAGGAACAGAAAGCGATTCTTAATGGATTACTAGGTAAATGTTCTTTTTCTGACGTTTTTTTCTTTACTTCAGTTTTATCCCTTTAGCACTCCACCCTTAATAAAGTGGAGGTTAAACCTGGAAATTAAGAAATTCTCAAAGATTTTCGAAATGGCCATTTTGGCACACCATTAGTTCCCAATTTGTTTTCGGGGACGTTTTACTTTGGTTACTTTGGGCGTGATTGAACAGGACCCATTCCTACCCTAGATTTAAGGAAATAAGAGAAACCCTCAACAGCCTTACACAAATGGACTTGAAATGGTAGGAGAGCTTGACCACTCCCTATAAAATCTTTTTTGTCTGAATAAAGCTTTTTAAAATCGTCAAATAATCTGTGTACCCAGGTTACTGGTATGATCTATGGCTCCAAAGTGGGGTTCTTGGGTAGTTCGCAAAGAAAAGTTTATAATTCACGAAGAAGAACCACAAGGCGTCAGATAGAATCTCTTAGACCATTGGTTTCCGCTTGTTCGAATCCCCCACGGACGTGATGTGGAATTGCTCTCGAATGTTTACGCCTACTTCTAGCTAGCTTCCAACTAAATTGAAGCACCACGGCTGTTTATAAAGCCGAATGCCTTGTGTAGCATTTCTCAAGTTTTCAGGGACCTACTTATTGGGTAGTGGACCCAAAATAGCTACTTGCTTTTACTACAAGAGCAGCCTAGTTTGGCGTACCTTTTCGTTTGTATGAGCAGAGTCGGTGTTGAAAAATTGATTCTGAACCACCTTCACCCTCTTTAGGTCCAAGACCTAAAGGACTGCTTTGAAAGGTTTCCGAGTCCGGATTTGCTGCTCATTCAAATTTTTTTTGCTTACCTGTCCACATAATTGCTATTTCTAGACAAAACAAGCCCTTTCATATTGCTCCTCCTATGGGTGGGGATGGTGTATGTACTGCGAAGGGTCCCAGTAATGTGGGGACTGAATCCTGGATTGGTACCCGACCACACGCTTACGATTTTGAAGGAAGTTGAAGGAGAAACCCATACCAAAAGTGGATTGATTGATGAACATTGAAACCATCCTGCTTTCCTCTTCTCGAAATCCCTTCAACTTTCTTTTCCACCTATGAACCGTTCTGGAGTCGTATAAATTAGCATAGCCCACCTTCGCAAAACTCGTCCGTTTTAGGCACCGCCCCTTTTGTCTTATTGATTAACATGGAGCTATCCCTAACCTGCTATAGTGGACCGTTGAACCAAAATTTCGTTTTTACTAGGAGGTATTGAGGAAAACACATCCCTGTGTGCCCAGCAATATGCTTTTCAAAAAGAGTGAAATCTAAAACGGTCCAAGATTAAGCTCATTCTAGATAATTTGCTCGATTTCAGGAGCAAACCTCGCTGATTTATTTTTTCAAGTATGCGCATACTCAACCGGTATATTCAGAACTTCAGAATTGACCATTAATTTTAGGGTTGATCTATGATAACTATGATACTACACGAAGGATAGAAAGCACAGTGAACAGTATTTATCGGATAACGATCGCATTATTGGTTATTGTGGTTCTGTTGGTGATCGGCATCATAGTATTCGTATGTGTGATTGGATGCAGAAAGTATCAAAGTGAAAGGTAAGTAGGAGGTGATCGTTGTTCTGTCCTGTCTATGTATTGTGTCTGCAACCCTACTCTGGTGTTCGTTTTTGCTGGTGATTAAATCGCATGATTAATTAACTACTCACGCAAACTCATCCATACTCTCCTCTTTCATTCTTCCTAATCCCTGATATCTTTCCCCACTCCCTCGATAAAAGGTGTCCCAAAAAAAAGCTTGTGAACGCATGTGTGTGTGTGTGGGTGTATGTGAAGGAATGTATGGAATCTTATCTATGAGTGTTAGTAAACAAGGCAATAGAATTCAGTCAGACACTACTTTTGGAAAAACTGTATGAAAGCAGGTAGCATCAACTCAAAGCTCCAGCTATTCATGCAATTTTTGTACGTTTTTTATTGTTCATGAGAAACGAAATCATGATGACAAACAATTGAGAAAAAACTCACCCAAACCGCGATCTGTCGAAGGTGAAAGTTCTTTTGGCCGTTTTTGGATGGTAGAAGCGTTACTGGGGGCGACCTCTTGAATAAGACGCCTACCTGAAAAGTGCACTACGGTCACTTATCAAAATATCTTGTGGGTGAACAAGGACGCGGTCGTTGAGCCTTCAAATTTTATGATTTGGGAGCCTCGTAGTCGCTCTCTATTAAACTTCTTCTGCCCTACAAGGAACCATGGCTTACCTTGATTGGGGAAAGACCAAGCCATTATTCAGTACTGATTCGGGCCTGCGAATTCCAGCCCAGTTCTCATTTTCGAATTACATAACGAGTAAACTTGGGATTGACCCTTTCTAGATACCCACATGATCCATATGGGAGGCTCATCGAGAGAAATTGAAGCTTTTAAGTTTTACTCTTCTAGCGCCATATGTACTCACCACTTTACTGGAGGAGTTACGACCGTTGGAATACACTTCATGCACTGGAATTTCGAATTAAGGAAGTTGCTTTGTGTCTTTCATAGGGTCGTGCACCTCGATCTCGTCCTGTCCATCTGTCGATCATGCACTGCTTCGGCTTCGCTTTGCTCCAATTTCAGTTAGGAAGAAACACCGAAGACTATCCTGAAGTAGTATTGACTCAAAGGGGCTCTGACTGAAGTGCTTCTAGATTGATTGATGATCCTCATCAGGGCTTTGGGGAGCACATGTGAAGATTTCATCGATATGACCATTTCGACAACGGAGAGGCAATAAAGACAAAATCTTGCCAAGAAACTGAAGGGCTACAGTGCTGCGACGCATATGAGTTACAAAAAAATATATTCTACTATGTGAAGGACAAAAAGATCCGGAAACTTGGAAAAAAAGTAAATTTATTGACGGGCATGCCGACATACCAGCCGGCACAATACGCCGCTCGCCGGTAGCAAGGTCATCCATTGATTAGATCAAACCTACAACTTCTGTGATCTACACGTATGACGAACTGCGTAGAACTTTTTTTGCTTCCGAGGTTTTTAACAGTAGGAAGAGGTGGTGGTACGTCAAGAGTGCTCACTAGATGTTCTGAAACCTCAGGCGTCCAGGATGAGGATGAGATTGTCTTTGCCGGGTACAGGACAAAAGTCCTTCTGTGGATGGACGAGGCAACGACGACGAAATACTTATTCGGACGAGATTTCAGCCGCACAGACCGTCGTATTTTAGCTATAAGCGTGTTTCAGCCGAACGCATTCCCATCAAAAGTGATCAATTTCGAGTTATAGCAGCGAACATGCCTTTTTTGGGTTCATCGAGTGGAATAGTTATTTCTGAGCCCTCAAGGGGCATAGATTTCTGCGCAAAGAAAAATTCCCGGTATCGTTGTTATCGCGACCTGTGTCTTTTGCTTTCGAACTTCCAGTCTGTGGAAATTTTTTTGATAGTGCTCAGACTCCTTACAATGAATGCGAAAGAAAGGTTTTGTAAGTTTCGGAGAGTAGTCTGATTCATTGAATGGAGAGGCGTTTTATGGAGTGAAAAGATGTGATCAGAGTCGTTCAAGGGGCATTTTTGGGACACTGCTAAGAGGGAGCTAACGCTTGGATATCTTTTGGATGTCCTGCTCGTGTTTGGCGTTGGTTGCATGGTGTGTTGCCTTCTCTCTCTCTCGGAGCGCTCGTTTACGAGCATCTCTTTTAGCGGCTCGGCTACACAACATGCACCGTTGAAAACATTTCGCGAACAACGAAGGCCAGAGCATCCGCCAGCAGTCACAGAAAAGCTCATGCGACATCATACGCGTAGCGAACCGCCGCCGCCTTCCTCCTCTTCCTCACAGCAGGCACAGCCTTTATCGTGAGCCAGGTGCTGGTGGTGCTCGAAGCGAGCCGCCCACAAGAGGCACTCACTACTAGCTAATGTCTCTCTCTCTTAGCCACAAACAGGTCTCATCTGAGCGATGGCGCAGTTTTCAGGGCTTCACCGATGCACCAACCGCGCAAATCGGCGCCCATCGAAATCTGAATGTGAATCCGCATCATCCGGGTCCTATCAGATATGCTCAAGCCTTCAAATTCGAAACACTCCATCGCTGAACGCCTCACCGTCCGTTGTTTCTCCTCCTCCAGCCCTCCTGCCCTTTAACGTCGTTCTTCTTAGGGTTTTTCTTCTATTTTTCGACCTGGTTCTTTCTTACTGTTCTTGTGCCCTAGTGGATGATATTCTCATGATCTCCGGTTGATGTCAAACGTCGTCGTCGTTAGCTCTGGCGCATTCATCATCGCACTGTTGTTCACATTGTCAATGGAAATGTGTCAAAAACCGTTTCTAGGCAGTAATTCGTAGCATTTTTGTATAAAGTTTTGTTTTTTATTTCTATTAGGCATACTGCACGAGTACTGCCAAACTAATGATAATCACAAATAATCGAAATGCTCAAGTCTTTTCACACTTCTTTCATCGCATTGCTGACAAATTTGACCTTCCATCTCTGCCGTCTACGTTCGCTATTTACGATTATGATGACATGTTTACATGTACCTGTGTCCTCTTGTGATTGTTTGGGTCTTTTCTTTGCTGGATTCCCAAAAAGTCCCAAAAACTTTCGATCCAAATGAGCGCCTGAAAGCGCCTCACACATTCCAGCGTGGAACAGACTCATCTGTAGAGATGATTTATTCTATTTAAAGTTTAAACCCCGTTAATAAATCGTTCTACATAGATTCATTTCCCACTCTATCTGCTTCGATAAAACCTTTTCTAAAATTTCGGATTTTGGTTTGATCTAAAACCTTAACATATGTGTGCGTGAAATAGAATTGATTTGTAGGTTACTCACGTAATTTAAAGGCACAGTTCGCGATAATTTTGAGTATTTTTGTCACAAACGCAGGACAAAAGTGTCATATTTTAGTGTTAAACAGGGAAACCAGCTGAGATTTCGAACTTCAGGGCTTCTAAATACAATCATTTCTACCTTTGGGCGAGAAGAATATAACAACGAAGGTGATTCGGACAAAGTTGTAGTCGTCGAGCAATTTGCATTCGGTGTAAGCGTGCATCTGCTGACTGCTCGTACATTACGCGCCCTATTTCGAATGATAACAGCATCTACAAAGGCCGCTAAACTCGTCCTTTCACGGGTGTTCCAGCGGTAGTGATCCTCTGGACAGGATTTGTAGCCTTATTGCGCTCTTTGTAGGTACATATCGGTCCGACAAGGTTTATATCCTGAGAAATCTCCACTTACGAAACAATTTTTATCGCAAACTGTGCCTCTAATTTGAAATGTAGGTGCTTCACACTGAAAGACACAAACAGTTGCGGTGTTTTCAAGTAATCAAAACAGTCAAGTCCCATAGGGATTGGGTAGGGGAGAGCACTCAGCTTCCAAAAATAAAACGTTCTTGAATGGGAAAGTCACTTACCGACCTGTAGGGAAGCAGAGCACGCAGTTTTCAAAAAATAAAAAACCCCTGAATGGAAAAGTCAAGTTTCGACCTGTAGGGAAGGGAAAACACGCAGGAACTTTGGAAAAATAAAAACGCCCCTCGAATAGGAAAAGGATTGCATAAAAGGAATGCTCAACTAAGTTGTTAGGAAACAACCACAGTTTCCTTTAAACACCCCTCTTACTCTGATATTTCCTCAACATAACTTCGTGCACGGCTACAAGAAAGTTCGGGCTCCCCCAAGTTCCTTCCTTTTCCCTCCCATTCCCTATCCCTAAGGCTTATTTGGGTCTAGTACGTGGGAGTGTGGATAACAACAAAAAGAGGGAATTGTGTGCCTAACCTCCGACCAGTACTACTATACAACATTCCACTTTTAGATCGACCGCTGCTGAAAAACGTGCCGAAATGGCTCCTCCTCCGCAACTGATTGACCGAAATGCTCATACTCATAGTATTCTTAAACGTCCTGAACTGGTTCCTCCAATATTGATTGAACCAGATGCTCTTAGTCTTATTGACGAGAAAACCAACGTTGTATAAAGTGTCCATATCAAATGATTCACTTCTGAAAAAAAGAAAACCTTCGTTTTAGCGTAAACAACATAAACAACGCAGGAATTGCAAGAAGCACATCCACCAAATTACTTATGATTACTTATTAATTCAACAGCTGATACATGGGGTTGCCCGGCGAAACACAACACAAACATATGATTTCAGTTGAATTCGATACTGGTTATTTCAATTTCTCCATCGATTCGCATTCCAATGTAGTCTCTCACGGGATCCTCCGTACGATGGGCGAATGTTCCAATTTGTTCATTATTCACGAAGATCTGAACAAAAACTGTTGGCTGAGGAGCTCAAAAGCAGAAAAAGAAAAAAAGGACAAAGTGGGAGGCTCAAATAGAAATTTGTGGGGAGACGGGCGTTAGGAACGGTTTTGGGTAATCGATTCGCCGCACGCGGCTGTCGCGGACCACTCATTCGCCGTTATTACAGCTCTAGCGTTCTTCATACAGCTCAATCGATATGCGATCATTATTTTATGCATAATTCTACTATTAGTACCTTTGTTCTTGTATTTCTTACCTACTGCTGCATCCTGCAACATTCCTTCGCGCGCGACGCCCCTCTCACTGCGACGCGACCATTTCGTTCCTAATGCACCACACCCAAATTTGTGTGTCTCGCACTCACAACATCGGTAATCTCACTGTAGGGAAAAATGGAGCTAACACGAAAGGAGAGAGTCTTTAGAACCGTCACAGGTATGTGCAAACTATCGTAAACCGAATTTCCAAACACGAAAACACGATTCATTAAGTTCGGGCTAATCGCTTCTTCAGCGAAAACAAAATGTCCGGCTCACCTAGAAGGGAAATTCTGCTGAATGAACCGTCAGGACTATTTCAGATTGATTTATTGTATTTATTAGACCATCTTGAGGAAGACAAAGGAAAGTGGAGGCTCGGTAACATTAGGGACAACGAGCGCTGGGCCCCTAAAGCGCAAGTGCCCGCTAGACGCAAGTAGCGGTTCGATCCCGTCCGATACTAAACTTTAAGCCCATAACTGGGCATTTTTAGGAACCTTTACACCTAACAACTTCCAAGACCATATAACTTTTCAAAAACAGATTTTATTGTAGGAAATAAAATCTTATCCCACGACGTTTTGGAAAAACACAAATTGCTGGCATATGTGAAGGCGTCGGCTTTTCAAAAACTAAGATTCACTCGCCATAAAACAAGAAGTTAGTATCAAAATGATAATTTATTCGATCGAAAGGAATCGAGTTTTCCCATTGCGTACACATGCTACAGTACATACCTGCATTGAATAGGGTTCATTCTGGATAGTGAGATCAAAACCGTGCTCCTTCTCAAATGGGAATGGTCCTTCACGTTCTTCTTTGGCCCATACACCGGATTTGTATGAATTACGTACGATCTTGAACCAAACATCATTAGGAAACTTCAACTTCGGATTTGAACTTGCTGGTAAAACCATCTTACCTGCTTATCCTTGAAACGAGGGTTGAAGTGGAACAGGATGTCACCATCCCTGCCAAGCAAATCGAGATTCCAGCGCTCTCCCTTCGGGATACCATAAAGGACGATTTTCTGGCCTGGAATCGACTTACTTCATTGGAGGTCTGATACGAATATAAGTTCTTCGGAGAGAAATCTTGCTCACCAGCTTTCAGATGACCATCGGGGAAGGCCGATTCCCATGGTACCTTGTAGAATCTGCAAACTTTCATAGGATTCTGTTTCCGCTGCTCTACTCGTAAACTGCTTCATTACCTTCCGCCCCAATGGACACCGTTGAGCGTACAGTCTCCCTTGATTTGAAGGTATTCAATTTGATCAAATGGCATGCGATGTTTGTATTCATGGACCTTCTTGCCATCACATGAGATCTCCATGTAATCAACATGAACCCTGAAAACTATTTTATTCTTCATCAGATAAAGCCACTCTTAAATTTCACGAGATTGGCGAGTTATGGACAAAATTTTGGCCTCGGAAGGGATTCGAACCCGTGCTTGTGCTGTCCGAGCACCGCGCTCTTTAGTTCTTTCACTACCGAGACCCCATTTGCCATCTCCTTCCTGAATCTCTCGGAATCTCAAACAGAATGCCAAAAATGAACTTTTGCCAGCTAATTTTGCTGAGAGTCAAAGATTCCCCGCATGTCCCTAACCTTACCCGCACCGAAGAGGACTCCAGTGAACGTACCGGAATGCAGATGTTCCAGATGTTTCTGCGAGGCCATATGCCTACCATAGGGAAAGGCTTACTCATTGCCAATCAGTCTACCAAGGTCACTGCAGCGCAACACAGAGTTTATAAAAAACAGCCAATCTGCCAAGGTTACTCAACCATGGCCATGGTCATACTTTCCCAGTATTGCGCTATATCGCTTCGATCTTTTACTTAGAACCCCACCCACTTATCTTTTGAAGAAATTGGAGAGAAAACAAATTGGTGAAGAGCTGAAGAAGGAGAAACAGAGGGCAAGAAAGTAGATGATGTATGGGAATAACCTGATTCTCAAATCGAATTTCTGTCCTTTCTTGAACGGCAACGACTCACGTTCTTCCTTTCCCCATTGACCACCCTGAAACACCCCAAAACTTATGTTCCACCTTCAAAACCCTTCAAAAAAAAAGAAAGGAAAAAGAAAGAAACACTCAAAAAATTAATAGAAACGCCCATGTAAAGGAAAAAAACCATTACGGCAATACAATCTGACTTTGATGTACTGCTTGAGTGGTTGCAAAAAAAGCCAGTATTTTTTTATGACTACTCATCTTTCCTGTCTTAATCTTAAAGGCGTTGGAGAGCACTGAAATTCTACTTCAATTTGCTAAATGCCCATTACCGCAGTAGATTCCAGTGGGAATGCATTAGAGGATTAAATTCTGGGCTAAAGTTTTAACTTTGAATTGGACAATACTACAGAATCTGGGCATTTGGCTGGATAAACCCCTCCTTGAACATAATTTTGTCATAGAAATCAGTCTTACCATGTAGGAGTTCATCACGATTTTGCCCTCATCGAATCGAAGATTAACATGCAGAGCAGCCTGTCCTGGATCGATTTGGGACGCCCCATGTAGGAGATTGATCTCAACTCTGCAATTTATGCCTTTAAAATGAAAACGAGTGTTGTATTCAAACTAGTGTAATTTTGGATGAAATAAGGTCTTATCAATAATAACGACATGACATAGATTGGACGGACCTATTGGCATCCTCATTGATGGCCCCATGAATGTCGATAGTCTGTCCGGCCATAAGAGGCTGACCAAGTTTGGTCGTATACGGGACGGGAATCGGAGCATCTGTTGGATGAGCCTGAAAATGACTTTCAGTATATGTGGTTGCTGAAAGTGCAGCCGATTTTAATCGCTCGACAGTTGCTGCTTCATCCAACTGACGTTGTTTTCCATTTTCACCATGTATTTATTCAGGCATAGAATAAACTCTGAACGCCAGCGCTTTGTCAAAAAAGAAACAATCTAACAACCACACAAGATTCGCCTTTATGTGGTTAGCAACGAGAATTAGCAGCTCCTGAGAAGCTGTCAACTACCCTATTACTCGGACTAGGTCGATGAAGTTAAACGACCATGTCTACCTCTACCGACCGACAGTAAAACTACAAAACTGCGCACCCTATTTCCCCAGAAACCTTCTCCAATCTGTGTACTCACAAAGATATTCAGAATCCTATTTCTACTTATTCTGGTGACTTCAAACAATCGTATTGAAATTTCTGGATGAACAAGACCTGAATAGGTAGCCCTTCTATCCCAGAAAGCTTTTTTTCTGTGTTCTTGGCATGAACAGGCACAGAATCTTTCAGAAACCGACGTTCAAGACGCTATTCCGGAAGAAGATAAGACCTCGGCTGTGGGGGCCCTCCAAACGCTTGACAGGCTGGAGTCCCAGGAGGAGAGGAAATTGCAATGCCATCGCAAGACGCAGTTCAAACAGGAGTAGAAGGAGCATATCAAAAACGAGAAAAAGAGCAATGATTCCCTGTTCACCGCCTGGTCTAAACCCTGAAGGTCTCTGAAGTGATACCGTGAGATCATCCATTCTTGTGGCCCAAGGACCTACGGGTAAAGGCTTCTTCGAAGAAAAAGTAGCACGTTATATAAGTTTTACGACCCAAAGGGATTGCTCAGTTTGAATACGATTTGAGTACTTATCCATACATATAGCGGTTACGGTCAGCGACTCGTTCCACCAGGATTAGCCTACGTGGCCGTATATGCGGGGTACACAAATGCTTAAACAATCACTAAAACCTACCATCCTCGCCTTGATAATGTGATAGAAGTGCAACATGAGGCAATCCCATCCTGCCGTTGGTCTCCAGCACATAACCCTACACGATGATTGACTTGATCGGTGGTCCTCCACCCATACCAGTTACTCCCAATTCCCGCTAAGCATGGGAACAAAATGTAAACTGCGTCTGAGTCAGGTCTTTAAGCGGTGGAAAAACCATACCATGCTATGTCACTAGTTAAATAGCCGACAGTAGAGAACGATTCTTCGCCATAGCCCACATGAAGGTCTTGTTGGACGGGCTCAGGTGAAGGGAAGACCAATTGCATTTGGGCAGCAACTCATGCAACCTTCCATAAGCCGACTTCTTCAGCAGGATTTTTTCAGATGCATCTTCCCTTGAAGACAGTTCCTGTCAGGGTGAACTCCCATAGGACTCCCCTGACTTTGTAAATGACCACAGACGACCTTAACGACGGGCAAGAAATTCATGAACTTGAATTCAGGGCTGATCTGACCAGTGACCAAGACGGTACTTTGTAACTACGACTTCAGAGTTAGGTGCTCCACCTTCTGCGGTTGCATAACTCCAATTCAAACAGAAAGAAGAACAATTAGTGAGTCAGGGAGAGTGGATAGGCCTGGATTTAGGCCCTATCTTCAACCTGAATACCAGGTTGCTTCCTCCCCTCCCAATGCCATAGCATCCTGAAACTTGGTGCCGACCATTGATTACCGATGCAAACATCGCAGTTCATTGGTCGTTTGAAAACGGCCGCGAGTTGGGCAGGGCAAACACCACCCATCTCTGTGGTAGAGGAGACGGATGGCTGACTCATCAGACACACCATGGGCACCCACTGGGTAGGTAACGGGAGACTTTGAAAAGGAGTTATAAGAAATGGTTCACCATTCTGAACTTTGGTCTGTTACCCAAAGAATTCAGAGTCATCACCGACAAGACGATGCCAGTCAATGAATAGCTGCACCTTACTGTAGACGCTCTTAGCCAATCTTTTTTTGACAAGAGAGATCTACCAAAAGAGACGTACCATCCATTCCATTTCAAGCAATCAGGGAATACCTGAGCCAGTTAGATGTCTCCTCCCTAAAACTTCACTCCCGGGCGATGCCCTCACTCTTACAACCAACAAAGTAACTTCATACTTGTGTAAGCTGCCCTATGAGACAGTTCATTCGACCAGACAACAGCGAAACTCTCTCAATCGGCCATGGGCTGCAGACTGGCTATTTCACACAGTGAATGATGCCATTTGAGAGAAACGTCGAACAAGCGACAGCAATTGCCATCGATCGCCTTCGAAAAAAA